AGATTATAGGACTTTTTTGTTTGTTTTTAAACCTTTATTTCTTTATTCCTAGGTACAAGGGACCACTGTTAGAAGAGCAAGCCCTTACTAAGGCAGCAGAGGGTGGACTATCTTCACCTGAATTTTCAGAGCTCTGTGTTTGGTTAGGCTCTCAAATAAAATCATTATGCAACTTGGAAGAAAGTATCACTTCAGCTGGTATTGCCATTATGTTTTATTTACTTTTCTGTTTAATGGTAAAATGAACTGATAGCTTTTGATTTATAGTTTTATCAACAATGTGCCCACTGTACAAAGAAAAATCAATAGTATTACAAAGAACTTCAATATGTGATATTAAAAATCTTTGGATTAAAGGTTATATTAATCCAAAATTGATTTTTAAATTTGCTGTAAAATTATAAGCAATTACTGTTTATCTGCTGTCTTAACCTCAGTGTTCTTCTTTAGAAAAAGTAGAGTCTGAATTTAGTGATTTAAGAGTTTAACTTATGAATGTTGTTCATGTTGAATTAAGATGTTCTTTTTTTTTTTTAAATACATGTAATCCCAAATTTAAATTGTATTCCCAAGGCTGTAACTAAGGACATGGACTCACATAGGAATACTTCTATTTTCAAAAAGACTGCCTTGCTAGCTCATAAAGCTTATTTAATTTATCACCATCTTGGTAACTGGAGTCGTAGGTCTTTGTAGAATTTCAAATAATGTAATAAAATGAAAACTTAAAAATTGTTGGGCATTTGTTACAGGACAGTGTAGCTTTTTTTTTAAAGAGATGGCATCTCACTGTGTGGCCCAGGCTGGACTCGAACTCCTAGACTCAAGCCATCCTCCTGCCTGAACCTCCAGAGTAGCTGGGACCACAAGTGGGAGCCACCAAGCCAGGCCTATACTTACATTTAAATTGTTTTTCTTTCCTTGCCAAATTTAACAAAATTCACTTGAAGCAAAGTAAAATAATCTGAATTCCAAACATACGACACAATTCGTACATAATTATATTATAAAATAGAGATAAGCAGGGAGGCTCAATTAAATGATTGGATTTATTATCTGAACATATAGAAACACAATAGAAATAGATTATTTGCTCTGAAGCCAATTAATAACTGTAGCCATAAATAATGCTTTTAATATCTCAGTTGCTAACATATTTCCAGCTTATCTGCTTTTATGGAGAGTCCATTGGAAGAGATTAGTCAGGGATTTAAATATAAAAATATTTAAAATCTCATCATT